TTTTAACTACATAAAACCAACTATTCAATTTTAGTTCCACTAACTATGGAAATTTAGTTAAAATGCTGCTAAATATGGTAGTTTTAACTACATTTTTTTAACTGCACATATGTGGATGTTTTTACCACTTACGTTTTTTCTCTGTAGAAAAAAATGATCTTTTCAACAGCATAAATAGTAAAAATAACTATTTTCAACAATTGACTTTACCGAGGACTTTACTATTTGAAAACAGTAAATTTCTTTCTTTCTCTGCAACTAGTAAGAAATAGTTGTTTTAACTACATAAATCATAAAAATAACAACTTTCAGAGGTTGAATTTACTATATAAAAACAGTAAGTTTCATTTTGTTTGCAACTAATACAAAATAGTTTTTTTTTACTACCACAATAGTAAAATTAACTTTTTTAACAGTAGTTTATACTACAGTATTATTGTTGAGTCATTTACTACCATCTATTAGTTATTTCAACTACGTGAAGTAGTAATTTTAACTACATAAAACCAACTACTTCATTTTGGTTCCACTAACTGAGGAAGTGTAGTTAAAATGCTGCTGAATATGGTAGTTTTAACTACTTTTTTTCTAACTGCACATATGTGGTTGTTTTTACCATTCGCATTTTTTTCTGTGTATAAAAGATTTATTTAGATTTACAATGACAGGAAGTAAAATAGGAAAAAGTTAAACAAATGCGCGATACATAAAATTGCCACCAGAGGGCAGCACCTAATGGGCACAACTAATTTTCTCATTTTACTTCCTGACGTCGTATATTATATTAGACTTTCAATTTCTTGTGCACAAATGAAAGAACAAAATTTCAGGATAACTGGGATTTTTCCCTATTTTCCAATAATTGTCCAAATTGGGAGAAAAATCCTTTTGAAATTATGTTTACGTTCAATCAGCCATTTTTAAAAGGCAACCACTGTTTGAAATTGCGCAACACCGTTAACCTACAAATTTCAGAGGCTTTCCAATACTTTTAAAAAATTTGATTGTAAGTGAACTTGTGCAGCATTAACCTGTCATTTTAAAAGAAAATTGAATCGTTTAAAATTTTGAGGTTATAAACATGTATAAATTTTATAGTCTTTCATTACACAGCCACACAACAAAATTTTTGGTTCTGATCTGGAGGTCTCACTAGGTGTACCTTATGTTTTTTGGGTCGCTGAATCCGAATCCGAGGTCCATTTAACCCCATCAGATCAGGGTGTTTACATAACCCAAAAAACCAATATGACGGACACCTTTTGGAAAAATTTATCGGATTCGCTTGAAACTCGTTACTCCGGAGTTTTCGGTATCGCTGATTACGAATTTGAAGTCAGTTTTCAAGTATTCAAAATGGCGGATCCAATATGGCGGACACTTTTTTTGCAAAATTCATCGGATTCGCTTAAAACTCGCTAGTCGGGGGTGTTCGGTGTTGCTAATTACAAATTTCAAGTTAGTTTTCAAAATTCATAATGGTGGATCTAATATGGCGGACACCTTTTGGAAAAATTCATCGGATTTGCTTAAAATTCGTTACTCAGGGATTTTAGGGGTCGCTGACTACAAATTTGAAGTCAGTTTTTGAAAATTAAAAATATCCGACCCTTTTTTGAAAAACTCATCAGATTAGATTGAAACTTGTTAGTCGGGGGATTTTCAGGGTCGCTGAATCCGAATTAGATGTCAGTTATCAAAAATTCTAAAGGACGGATTAATATGGCAGACACATTTTAAGAAGAAATTCATATTTTTTCGAAACTTAGAAACTAAGAGTTTTTCTGGTCACTGATAACGAATACTATATTATACTCTAAAAATCTCACAACTCCAATAACATTTAGCTTAATATGTAGACGTATATGACATGCCTTTCCAAATGCTGTTATTCATGTTCTTTTATGAGTCTTTGTACATACAAAAATCCGTCGAGGAGACTGCTCGGGGGTAGTGTTTACTTAATTGATCAAAATAATCAAGTCCTTTAGAATTTTTGAAAGCTTACATCTAATTCGGATTCAGTGACCCTGAAAACTCCCTGCCTATAACAAGTTTCAAGCGAATCTGATGAGTTTTTTAAATAAGGGTCGGACATGTTAGATCCGCCGTTTTTAATTTTTATAAACTGACTTCAAATTCTTAGTCAGCGACCCCTAAAATCCCTGAGTAACGAATTTTAAGCGAATCCGATGAATTTTTCCAGAACATGTCTGCCACATTGGATCCAAAATTTTGAATTTTTGAAAACTGTCTTCAAATTTGTAATAAGCAACACCGAACACCCCCGACTAGCGAGTTTTAAGCGAATCCGATGAATTTTGCAAAAAAAGTGTCCGCCATATTGGATCCGCCATTTTGAATACTTGAAAACTGACTTCAAATTCGTAATCAGCGATACCGAAAACTCCGGAGTAACGAGTTTCAAGCGAATCCGATAAATTTTTCCAAAAGGTGTCCGTCATATTGGTTTTTTTGGGTTATGTCAAATCCCTGATCTGCTGGGGTTAAATGGACCTCGGATTCGGATTCAGCGACCCAAAAAACATAAGGTACACCTAGTGATACCTCCAGATCAGAACCAAAAATTTTTTTCATGTGGCTGTGTTACCTATAACAAAAATAATTAACTACCCAGTAAAAAAAATTCGATACACGGACCGCGGAGTTCGTATACGAGCTCGGTAGCTCGTATGAGAAATATGAGAAAACTCTCATACGAGCCTTTTCCGTAATGAGAAGTGTATAGATGCTTGTATACGAGGTGACTTTTAAAGCATTTTTCTTAATAGGTATAACACTATTTTAAAGTAAATGTAGATAATAGAAATGAATTTTCAAAGTAAAACAAAGCTAAATTTATAAGGGAAATGAAGTTTTAAGAAAAAAAGGATAATTTTATTCAAAAAATTTATTCACTCTGAAAAAGGTTAGAATTTGATAATTTCTTGTTACTCTAACTTACCGACATTAAATATTTCTCTGATGCGTAAGCACGATTTTGTATTGGCGGTAGAATAAATAGGTTTTCTTCATTACTAATTAATAATATATTATTATTTATTTATTATATAAATGTTCTTATATAAAATAATTAAATTTAATACAAAATCGTGCTTACCGCATCCGAGAAATATCTAATGTCGGTAAGTTAGAGTAACAAGGAATTATCAAATTCTATAACCTTTTCAGTGTGAATAAATTTTTTGAACAAAATTATCCTTTTTTTCTTAAAACTTCATTTCCTTTATAAATTCAGCTTTGTTTTACTTTGAAAATTCATTTCTATTATCTACATTTACTTTAAAATAGTGTTATATTAAGAAAAATGCTTTAAAAGTCACCTCGTATACAAGCATCTATACACATCTCATTACGGAAAAGGCTCGTATGAGAGTTTTCTCATATTTCTCATACGAGCTACCGAGCTCGTATACGAACTCCGCGGTCCGTGTATCGAATTTTTTTACTGGGTAACTGACAAAAATTGGAATCAAAGATTCCATATTCTACAACACTGGAATATTTTTTACAAAATTGTCCATTTTTGATTAATTCGGAAACACTCACGAATTTTTTCAATTGCATTGAAACGTGTTGTCATAGTCAGTGGATGCGCTTACGTTCAACTTCGACAATACTTGATAGTAGTGACTACAATTAGAAAGTTAGCATATGTATATGTTCTCGGGTAACATCTTAGATTGTAAAAAGTGGATAGTAGATTGTACCCAGTAACATAATGATGGTACCACGTACAATCTTCTTTTTAGCCATCAAATCCTAACTATCCATTTTTCTCAGTGTAACAATTATTGCAAGTGTTAAAAACTGTTGATTGTTATGTGGAGTTGACACAAAGGAGCCTCTGGTTCGTGTCTTCAATAGTTGATTTACTTTTCTTCCAGACTATCGCCTCCAGAGCAAATTTCGATTCTTCGGAAATAAATATACTGTTTCAATGTTAGATATTAAAACTTTTACTAATACTTGGGCTTATTTCCAAAATAATTCTTTTTGAATTTTCACTTGTTACTCGTAGTTAAATCGGTGTATTTTAGTAGATGTTTTACCGAAGTTGGGTTTTGAAAAATATTACTTGGGGATGTAGTTCAGTTAACTTCTAAACTGTATTTTCTTTCTCAAAGATGTTATTAGGTTGATTTCCAAAAAAATACTCTCTGGTCTAAAGAAGATGCTTTCCCTTTTTATATCAAATTTTCTAATGCAAGCTGATTCACGAATACTACACGTGCCGAAATACTACACGTGCAGGTAGGTGCAGCGATACATCACTGGACCAATATCAATAGAGTTTTCTTCATTCATCTGGATCTGGTATGTGTCTTTCTCTCTCTTTCGGAGTGCATTCTTCTTTCCTCATGTGTGGTCTAGTTTGTAGAAGGTTGTCCACTTGATGCGTAATTGTTATTCTTTTTGCATTATTTAAAATATAACTTTTTTTTCTTGGATTTGTTATAACTTATTAATTTGTTGGAAATACATAGAAAATATACAATAACAAATATCACATTCATAGAAAATGTACTGAATATAATGTAATAATATATGTATGACATACACATACACATACACACGTGAATATTATAGAAAATACATAGTTCAATCAAGAATATTAATAAGAAAATACATATAGTTGAATCAAGAATATTTAATAAGAAGTTACGGACGTAACAATAGACAAAAAATAGAGGAAATTTTTAAATAACGTCTTTGGGGTGGTCTTGTTAAATCTTACGAACAACAAAAAATGTGTACGGCCTCTTGCCCCACTCTCCATAATTCCGACTTTATTTTAAAAGTTTGTGTTTTTTATTAATTTATTATAAAACATTTTTCTGATAAATAGTTTAAGAATATATTTCATAAAAGAACTTTTGACAGTTGATTACTTCAAGGTTTGATTTGAATGTTATACATATTAAGTAAAAGTATTACAAAATTGTACGTTTTTTTATTTCATGCTTGACATTCAACAGAATAACTTAACATTCATCAAGGTAAGAAAATGTTTAGTATTTAATTATTTAAGGCGAATTTACGGAAAAACATATGATAGAAGTTATTACAAAAATGAAGCTGAAACTGGTACCCAGTTATAAGCACCCACTTAATTTTGGAAATTAAATTTAAAGGTTAAATATTTTTTTCCTTAAAATCAATATATAATTTTGAAAATCGCATTGACTTTGACACCGCCTTAATGAGCGTCTTCGGTATTTGAGTCTAACATATATACATAATTTATAAATTTCTGGTTCTACCAGAGGCAGACGATGATAATTTTTTTTATAAAATATCATTTGAAATAATAAAAAGATACTAAATAATTTACTTGAATTGGGGGCTTAATAGTTTAAGTAATTTATGTTTTATATAAATTACATCACAAATACAAAATTAAAAAATTTTCAGACTGAAACTGCTCTTATGTATGATGCTGTTTATTTATTTGCAAAAGCTCTTCATGTTTTGGATGCATCTCAACAAATTGATGTAAAACCATTGTCCTGTGAGTCAACTGTTACGTGGGATCACGGATATTCTTTAATTAATTATATGAAAATAGTAAGTTGCATAAATATTTATTGCTTGAATAGATATCATATTTATTTATTTTATTTATAATATTATACGTCTTAATTAAATTTGAGCCTTTACAAGTATGTATTAGTAGTATTTTGATAATTTTTTATTTATTCATAATAAATCAAATTATACCTATTGTTACGGCCGAACTCCGTAACTTTTTATATTGTTAATACCTTTTTAATTATACTTAAACTAAAATTACGCACATCATTCATTCAAACAACACAATATTCCCGGTAAGAAGAGGTTGATTAAAACAGATTAAAATGTTTAAACAAAATTTCAAAAATGACATTGGTTTGGCATTGAAAGGATAGTGAATTTTGACCGCACATATGCAGTCATTTTAATGCATTTTATTACCTTTTCATTAAAATGAATTAAAGTGTCAGCAATATTTAAGTCACAAATGGAATTCTAATGATTACAAATTTTATGGTATTAAACAGAATTAAATTGTTTTTAATTCTAATTACCCAATAAGAAATAACATGCATACCGAATTAAATAGAATATAAATGTATGAAGATGAATGATCTTTAAAGGAATTAAAACATGGAACTTCATAAATGAAATAAGTTTGTCATTGAAATGATTCATAATTTAGCGATTTTTGTATACATTTTAATCTATTTTAATCAACCTCTTCTTGCTGGGATTTGTTAACATATCTTAAACATTTACACAAAAACAACCCTTTGTAATTTCACAAAAAGGACGTTCTTCTTTTTGAATATTTTAATCTAAAGTATTTTAATCGGATAAAGATCTAATTCTATATAAATAATATATTTAATTGAATTTAACATTCCTTTGAGTTTCACAATTTTGAGGTGAAAAACCTAAGAATATAACACGGTATTTCTTAATAAATTCCTTTTCTTGGACAAACAGTTTGTTGACCCTTTTGAGGAGTAGTTAGAAAATAAAAAAAGTAAATTGGTCAATATAAGAATAGTGGTGCATCCAAGTCACTGAACTCGGATCACACCACTGCCTAAATCTGCAAGCTTGCAGAATTGGCTTGGCAACAGTCAAGTGCAATAAACTTAACATAGGATTTCCCCACTAAATCGTCTTTCAATAAAATTGATTGACACTAGGAAATCTAGGTAGTTTAAGCCAGGCCGTAGTTGCCTATTGTTGTAGCCGGCAGTTTTTGGCCAGGCAAGTCTAAGTCCGGCAGCTAGCCGTGGTATTCGTGAAGAATAAAATAGAGATAGTTCTCAGAAGATTAAAGAGATTAATAAAAAGTTTGTTCAGAAAAGTGAATTTTTAATTGAGAAAAATATAAATCATTAAAAAGTAGAAAAAGAATGAATTTAAAAGTCATATTGAAATATAAAAATAATAAAAGTGAAAAATAAAAAATAAAAATAAAGTGAGTAAGAAAGTAAATATAAAAAATTTGTGTAAGAGATATGAAATAAAAGAATTAAAAGAAAATATTGAAAGAATCTAATATCAGCAAAAAGAAATAAAAGTAATTCTATAAAAGAATATTAATTAGAATATATTTTTAAATACAACGTTTATTTATGGGGTTTGGGTCTTAAATTTTGTATAATTAAATTAAAAGGAATATTAAAGTTCATAGTAAAATATCAATCTAGAGAATCTAAATTAAGTATTTCTTAAATCTTTCTAAAAATCAATTTCAACTTGACGAAAAAGCAGAGCATCAGATTCGTATTTCAAAAGGATTGAATTCCCTAAAAGTGAGTAAAACTTTTACAACACTTTACACACATACCACTTTTTCATTCACACGCATATATATCTACTCTATTTTACACACACTATCATTTTATTATTTTAAAGATACAAAAGTTATATATTTAATTGTATTAGGGACTTTTGGGAAAAATACATATTATCATTGTTCTCAACATAATTTTGCATTATAATTTCAACATCCTAAAATTTTCCTATCTTCTCTTAATATCACAAGAATAGAGTTCTCAACCTCTTAGTTGAATAAAAACTAAGTAGAGGGGGAATCCACTACCTTTACGTTTTTTCGTCCGAAGGACACGTTAGTTAAAGTTTTAAAAATTAATCTTTTAAAATTAAAATTAAATTTCTAAATCCTACTTTAACACCGTTTATTCATTGCTTTATTAAATATACTGAATCTCAATGTGGTGGTAGATTTACTATGTTAAACCTATATTTTGTTGGTAGCTTTCATATTATTAAATCATTTTAAATTATAGGTTGAAATGACAGGTTTGTCAGGAATTATTAAGTTCGACCACCAAGGATTCAGATCAGACTTTGTTCTGGATATAATTGAGTTAAATACAAAGGATGGTGTAAAAAAAATTGGTACATGGAATAGTACAAAAGGTGTAAATTTTACACGTAGCTATGGAGAAGTGTATACTGAAATAGTTGAAAGCCTTCAAAACAAAACTTTTACCGTTACAACAATTTTGGTAAGTCTCAAGAATTCTTGTATAGCATTGACTCTTTAAAAACTGTTTAAAGCTTTATTGATTTTGATTCAATTTGGATTTTTAATTCCTAAGCACTACTGTACCTGAAGACCCTTAAAATTATTTTAATTAAATTTTTTCAACTATTTAACTAAACAAACAACTAACTTGTTTAGAAACTTTAAAAAATAAAAGGTGATCTATCGTCTTAATAAAATTCTTTAAAATGGGTAACTTTACAAAAGGTTTAACCTATTGCAATAGGTTAAAACTTCTGTACCTAAAGATACTAACTTATTAGTAATATTAATAGACTAAGTTTGTGAATATTAAATATGGTCCTAGTAATTTAAATTAAAATGATGCTCTATTTTCTTCAGAGTGCTCCATACTGCATGAGAAAGGACTCTAGTGTACAGCTGGTTGGAAATGCTCAGTTCGAAGGATACAGTGTCGACTTAATTCGTGATATATCTCGCATTTTGGGGTTTAATTATACTATTCATCTTGTTCAAGATAATCGCTATGGATCTTTAAACAAGGTTACAAAAGAATGGGATGGCATGATAAAAGAACTTCTTGAACAAAAAGCTGACTTAGCTATAGCAGATTTAACAATAACATATGATCGAGAACAGGCAGTTGATTTTACTATGCCATTTATGAACTTAGGTAAGCTACATTATGAACGTGTGTTAAATCGCAAATTAAGTTTTAACCTTTAACCCCTTAACTGTTTTAGGAAAATACAACATGATTGTCCCAAACTGCCCAGCGGAATCTAATACTTTTTCAAATAGTATAATATATTTAAATTATAACTAATTATTCAATTATTTTCTAAAATATCATTAATGACCCTTATAATTTCTTATAATATTGATATAAAGAAAAATATCTATCAATTTATAAACAAATTATATTTATTTTGATTTTTGAGTGATAGTGAACACGACCCACGGGTGGGACGGAAACAGTTAAGGCCATACTTTTTCACGACCCACCCGTGGGTCGGAAACAGGCAACGGGTTAATAATTGTGACCAATAGAAATTATCAATTTGAATTATTTAATAAAATTATTATTTGCAATTATTTAAAAGAAATCAATAAATAATCTCCTAGACTTTATCTGCTATTTTATTATTTTTAATTAATCAGATAATCTTTCAGTCTAATCAGCAATTAATTCTCATGTCTCTCACGAACAATTTTACCAAAAATATAGCTCAGTTGAGCGCTAGTTATTTTACTTTTTTTTCAAATTACTAAAATAACAAAATAATTTATCACTTAAAATTTAACTTGACAAAAATCAAAATTGAGTCTCTAATGTTGGGGGGGGGGGATTGCTATTGAAACCGCCATGGAAAGCACATGGCGTGAAGCACAATTATTAAACACAAAAATTTCAGGTTAACTCGCCGTTGTTGGTAATGGTTAATGAAATAAAGAACGCTGGTTAATCCAAATTAATTTATTCGTAACAACGCTGGCTCTCGAAGCATATTAATCCACTGTTAATCAACGGTTTATTAATCGATTTAGAAATAGTCACTCAAGTCTAGTTCACACAACGTTCGACTATAATTACCAAATTATAAATTCACTCTATTTATCACAAAGTATTCTCTCAAATTTTAGATTTCGTTCCGTAAATTTATGTCTCAAATTAATGATTCTATAATGACGAAAACTACTTTCTTTCTTTCAAACGAACAACGCGTCCTTTCTCTTAACTCACAATATCTCAATATATCACTCTCCGTACACACAGTCTCGGTAACACAGTAGTCAAAATCAAACTATAACTTTAAATAATATTAATTAGTAATTTAAAAGTGCAACGGAAGCGTCCATATTAATGTGCAGGGGCGGAACTATAGTTGGCACTAAAGTGTCATAGAGAAAATTCAGTGACAGTGACGAACCACTTTGTCACACAATATAGGAATACATGTATACTTACCAGAAATGGATTCTTTGAATAGTTAAATTGACTACTATTTTCTTCATTTTTTTAATACACCTGTCACATCTTTTTTAAAAGCAAACATCTTCATGCAACAAAGGCATATTATGGTCACTCTCCCTAAGTGTACAAGCTCATCCAAAGAAACTTTGTATAGTCTGCAGGTCTATAAAGTACCCATTATTTCTAAAGGGTAATATTATATTTCAATAAAATACTCATTCTTATCTTAGGGTAATAATTGGCACTTTATTGACCTGCTGAGCAATAAGCGAAAGGTCAACATGCGCCCATATAGGTAGCGAAGAGTGACCACAATACGCCTTTGTTGCAAAAAGTGTCGCATGTACTATAATGTTAACAAAGTTTGTGGTAATTATGTTTCAGGTATCAGTATATTATATCGGAAACCGATAAAGCAACCACCAAATCTATTTTCATTTCTAAGTCCTTTAAGTCTAGATGTTTGGATTTACATGGCAACAGCATATCTTGGAGTATCTGTTCTACTATTTATTCTAGCAAGGCATGTATAACATTATTGTTTATAAAGCAAATTTTACTATTACAAAAAATATGAAAATAAAAAAGACACTTGAAATATTGTCTTTCCACTAACACCGTAAATCATAAATATTAAACACCATACTTCTTTTAAAATGGAGTCAAATATAAAGGTAATAATCATTAATGCGATGTGATCGCTGCCCTATTGAAAAAGAACGACTGTAAATACGGGCGTAAATGTGACTGTGAATACGACCCTAAATACGAGCCTCAGTAGGGTAGTGTAATTGAAACAGTACATACAGCAGTATTTATGCCCGTATTTAGGGTCGTTTTTACGGTCGTATATGAATACTATTTTTTTCCATATACATTAAATACAATATTAGGGGAGGATGGGGCAAGGATAGTTAGGTAAGACCTTTTCGGATCTAGCGGCCAAACTTGATTATGTATCTGCAAATAAAAAGTATTTTTGGAAAGCCTGGTTATTTGGCTATAATTTTGCTGTACATTATTTTACTGTAGACTCAAATCCCTACGAGATATGAATGAAAAAGTAAACAAAAATTTTTAACTATCCTTGCCCCAGTACCGGGGCAAGGATAGTTAAAAGAATTCGAATGCTAAAAATGTTATAGAAAATCAGTAAATTTTTATTTTCTTTATTTTATTTGATGATTTAGACTATTCAATATTGTTATCTTAAGTATTAAAAATATGTATTGAACATTTTCTGAATTACAATTATTGTATTAAAATTCATCTGAACTAGAATCAGAGGTTTAACCAATTTTTTTCAGACGACCACCAATTTATTGGAAATAAGCTTCGTTTTCCGTATCCCAATGGGAAATTGCCAATGCTCACCATTGGCTAAATAATGGACCAATATTGGCTGCCAACAGTTTTTTCTTGGTCAAACATTGGCAGCCAATATTGGATCACTATTGGCTGCCAAGGCAAATGCCGGACTTTCCAAGCCTTGGTTATTCATTGGCAACAAAGATTGGACCAATATTAATGACCAATTATTCACCAATGCTTTAAAATTAAATTAATGCTTGGTTATTCCTTGGTTACCAATATTGAACCAACGTTTGAAATCAATATTTTACAAATACCAACACATAGCAAAAATTTTTCAAAAAAAAAAAAAATTAAATTACTAATCTAAAGAAAAAAAAATTAATTTAATTAGAACACTCTGTTAAAAACAGAATGTGATAAAAATCAGACAAAGACAAAATTTGTCTAAGTTTGAGAATGCAAGCGTCTCTCCTTATATAGAACTGGTAACGCCACTTGCTAGTGAGTGAAAGAAGCTCTGGCGCACCCTGGTGTTCGATTTTGAAATGTCCCGCGCTGCTTCAAAGTATATGCTCGAAATTACTTTGGATAAGTGCCACAAGGGTGCGCCAAAGTTTCTTCCTCTCGTTAGCAAGTGGCGTTACCAGTTCTATATAAGGAGAGACGCTTACATTCTCAAACTTAGACAAATATTATCTTTGTCTGATTTTTATCACATTCTGTTTTTAACAGAGTGTTCTAATTAAATTATTTTTTTTTCTTTAGATTAATAATTTAATTTTTTTTTTTTTTTTGAAAAATTTTTGCTATGTGTTGGTATTTGTAAAATATTGATTTCAAACGTTGGTTCAGTATTGGTAACCAATAAATAAGCAAGCATTAATTTAATTTTAAAGCATTGGTAATTAATTGGTCACTAATATTGGTCCAATCTTTGTTGCCAATGAATATCCAACGCTTGGAAAGTCCGGCATTTGCCTTGGCAGCCAATAGTGATCCAATATTGGCTGCCAATGCTTGGCAAAGTCGTGATCATCCCAAGACTCTGGCAATAGTGGCCCAATATTGGTTGCTATTATTGCACCATCATTGGTACTGCTGGCTCCCAATATAGGACCATTATTGCGCCAATGGTTAATTTCCCATTGGGATATAATAACGCACTATTATGTATATCAACCTAAAAAGAACAATTAAACACTTTTTTAAAATTTTCAATAGTATTAACACGCTTTTACCGTGCCGTATTATCTCTAACTATCCTTGCCCCATGAGCCCGTATTTCAGTTATTTCTAAATTTTAAGGAACGACGTGAATTAATTTGAAAATAAATACGATATTCGTGTTCAGCAGGAAATTCCACTCCGGAAAACACTTACGTAAATAAATATTCGGAAGCACTAATAAAGAAAACAATATGATAAACATTACGTTGATATTTTAGCAAAACAGACTTTTTTCAAAAATAATCTCCCAACTTCGCAAATGGTGACAGATTGACTTGCAATTTTTACAATCATCTTTTGGTGTTAAAACGCGAATATACTATGAATTACGCGATTTTTGAGCAAGCCGTCTAAGCATAACAGCAACTAACTATCCTTGCCCCTTAACTATCTTTGCCCCATCCTCCCCTACTCTAAAATAATATAATTTTTTAGATAAGTATTAAAATATAATTTATTCTTAAATAATTTGAAATTTTAAAGCGTTCAAATAAAAGAAATGCAAAAAACAATTTAAGGATATGTTAGGAATGAGGATAATATTATTTAACAGTAGTAGAAGATGATGTTTTATTACTATTATAATTATACTATAATTATAATTGTTATTTAACATATAAAAAATATAACACAAACAAATATATATAGGTATATATCACTTTATTTTACTCACAGCCACAAAAATACATATAATATTAATTCTCCATATTGGATCCACCATTTTTAATTTTGAAAATTAAAGACTAGTATTATTCCGTGCGCTCTCGTGCTCCGCGACCCAGTGTGCAAAGTTACAGAGCAATTCTATAACTATTCTAGAACAAAAAGAACAAGTTCTATAACTGGTGAGGAACAGGTAGGTCAAAATGTCGTTTCCCTGGAGGCACAAAATAGGAACAAAAGTCTGTAACAATTCTAGAACAAAACTAGAACATTGTTTTAGAACAAATATATAACAATTCAATAACAAAAGCGATTTGTCAAAAATAATACCCAAGTAGAAATCTAATACTTGTATAGTACAAATAAAATTTTACAAGTATGAATAAAAATATAAATAATTAATAGAATTGTTTTTTTGCAATAAGTTTTTAAAAAATATTTTTCTTATTTTCTTTAATTAATTTAAACGGACTATCTTATTTATTTAAATTAATGACTAAATTCTTATTATCATTGTTAATAATTATTTAAACTTATACTTTATGTAACACTACTATTATGAATTATACACAGAACACTTAAAACTAAGAATGAAAAACTTCGCACGCACGGGGAATCGAACCCTAGTCCTTGAAGACGCGAGTCGAATACGCATACCGCATAGCCACGCAAGCTTGAAAGTGATTTCACTTCAACTTCCTTCAGAATTGTTCGACTGTTATATACAGTACAAAAATGATAAATTGACTGTAACATATTTATTAAAAACAAATAATTATAAATGTATGTTTTATATTTGAACCCTAGTAAAAATAAACACGTGTTTATAGTAATAGAACAGTTATATTAAATTTTGTAACAGTGTTCTAGAACACTGTAGGAACAATGTTACTTCAAAATTTTATAACTTATTTAGAACAAATGTTACAATCTTCATTATAGAACAGATACAGAACAAATTTAGAACAAAGTTCTTGAACTGTTCTTTAATAAAATTGTAACACTTTTCTTTTTTGGTCTAGAACAGTTATAGTACGTGCACACTGGGGAGTTCTTCTTCCCGGCTCCTAATTTAAATGTTTCTTTAAAATTACTGTTAAATATTATTATATTTAAATGAAAACTATTTCTCAACTGTGTCTTAATTTTTATACACATTAAAAATAGTTATTTATGATGCAAGTGGGTATCTCCGAGCGTCGGGCGAGTTATTAGATCCGGAGCCTCAATTTTATTATCTTTTATTAAATGAGTCGAACAGCAGTTTTTCGTAAACTTACTATATTTTCTTTCATGTAAATGATTACGTTTAAATAAAAAATGAACACTGAAAAAAATGATATTGTCGATTTTGTGATACGAGTACAGTACGAACTCATAGCTGAAACAGCAATACTGTATGGCTGTCCCATGTCCACCAATATAATATGTGAGTATTGGCCATATTTATGGCAGTATCATAAATATATTTTTTTCAGTGATATAAAAACAAATATAACTAGGTTGTGAAGAAAATAGATTTCGGTTGTTTTAAAGGAACTATTGAACAGTAATTGTTTTAGATGACCAACATGAAAGAGCCCGAGTCGAAATTTAGATCCCTTGCTAAATAGTAAGTCGAATCTCTTTTAAACCTGCTTACTTTTCAAAACCTTCCTTTCACTCTTATTCACTCTCTTTTTAACGTCTTTTCAACCTCTATCAAATTGTTATAAAAAACTTGGAACCCTCTTTTAAACCTCTGTTCACTTTTAAGAATTCCTTTCATTTTTCTAACCTTTATTGAGATACAAGAATAGTAATGTTATAATTATTAGTCACTTTTCTATAACAAATTAAATATATTGTTAAAACATTCTATTTTGGAATCACTTCTATTAAATAATGTAAGTTGTTCGTGTCAAAGAACACCTTTCTGTTTCAAAGAGTCTACTGATTTATCCGCAAATTTCTATCTTCTTTCTAAACTACCACTTTTTTATAAGAGAATTTATGAAAAAATTAGATTATTAAACAAGTATTGTTGCAGAATTAATCTGGGTAAATGTTCTTATTACTTTAGAAGCTAAAGAATTTATTAAAAATTTTGTTAAACTAGTGTCTAGCATACTGTCCGCTCGTCGTACCGTTTAAGTTATTTTTGTTTTATTTATGTTACTTATCCGCTATTTTATTTATGTTTGGTGCTCATGGCTTTTCCCCGCTTATTGGTACTGTATTGTCATAGAACAAGTGTAATCTTTAAATAAATAATTTAAGTCGCGAATTTATTAGAAATACACGGAAAGAAAAGGTCTGGAAGAGATATCCATAAAAATATTGTTGAGCAGAATATTGTTGTGTTATCCAATTCATTGGAAGAGACAACTTTCAGAATGGAAGCACATTCCATATTCAATGGATGAGGGAGCCATATTATATTGTTGAATCAAATATGGATGTGACATCCTTAGGCATGGTTGGGCTTACAATTCATGCTATGGATTTTCACATATGGCTGCCTCATCCATATAAACTTTGGTTGGGAGATCCATAGTTAGTTCAAAATTTCGATACATGTTGCGCGCAATTCATTATCATGGCATCCATTTAAAAATGGTCGTCTCAATTTGTCCGTCGCGTCGGTTTCCTGCCACGTCTATATAATCACGTTGTGAGTTTATTGTGTATAAATAGTGTTATAATTGTTTATTATTTATTATCGTTATTGTCTATTAGTGTTTATGTAAATTCATTTTCATGAAATATGTGTAGAGTATATAAGGAATATTATATGCTCAAATATTGTAGTTGTGTGTATAGTGTAGTGGATAGCGTTAGTGTTTAGTATGCGTTAGGTCTAGGGTTCGCGTCTCCCCCATCGGTTAATAATTTATTTCGTAAATATGCGGTTATTCTATAAGTGGTGTGTATTAATTAACAAAAATGTGTATAAAATATCTCAAGTGACATAGAATTTAATTAATTGAGTGATTCTAATTTTTTTGTTTCCCATTTCCATTACTATGGATCACCCAACCATAGATCTTTTGCTGCTTCAACAATATACAGCCAGCCATAGAATATGGATGCAGCAACCTTAACTATGGATATCCCGTATTTTTCAATATAATATGGCTGTGATATCCACGTATCTGGATGTGTCAACTATTCCTTTTTCTCCGTGTAAAACAAACATATAACTATTTTCATTTCACGAACATCTGTTTCATCGTTGCAAAAAAACTATCTGTCTCCTCTTCTAAACTTCTATTCACTTTTAAGAACTCTTTTATTTTGAAAAGTTTTTTGATTGTTTTTGGTTTTGTGAAAAAAATGTTTTTTGATGCTCAGCTCGATACCTATTTCAGAGATTTTTAAATACTCCACAAAATATTGAGATATCCAAATCTTTAATTATTTAATAGTTTGAAAATTATTTTTGTTGATAAAGAAAAAAGTTATGTATATGATTCACTTCAATTATTTTGAATAAATTTATGTTTACTAGCAATGCTTAATATATCAGATTCATGAATCGTGTCATTTTAATAAATAAAACAATCTTATTCTAAATTGTGTATGCCCATTTAGAGGTTCGAAAGAGAATCTCACTTGCATGCAGTGATGGGTAAGTAATATACGTCACGTAAATTACACGAGTATTTTACGTATATTACGCATGTAAATTATCTCAAAAATTTCAAACACAATGCATTTTTTATGGTTTTTTTGATTCACCCTAAGTCAGAAAAGTAGGAGGGTAAAGAGGTTCAAAAGAAAGTCGAAATTTCGACTCGGGGGGATTTTTTAAAGGAAGGTATGGATTTAATATGTAAAATTTCACATATTCAGATTTAAAGAGCATTAAATGTTGAACAAAATATAAAACTTAGTTTCGATAGGTGGCTATTTGCCACAGTCAACCTAATTATCCATATAAATATAGCAACGTTTTTTAAAATTATATTTAGATTTACACCATATGAATGGTATAATCCTCACGTATGCAACAATTATCCGGATGTTCTGGAAAATCGATTCAAACTATTGAACTGTTTGTGGTTTACTATTGGATCCTTAATGCGCCAGGGTTGCGATGTTTTGCCCAAGTAAGATTACATTAAAGTTTATAATAAATCCCCAATTTCTCAAATAGTTATTTCATGAATAAAAAGGTCATGTATAATGAAAACAATATCTAGTATCTATACTATAATTGAGGGGCCGGATGTAGCAACTGTCCCCACGTGCTGTCGCAAGGGATAATACCAGTCAGGTAGCAGAGGCGCTCACTGCTCGCTGACTGGTATAGTCTTTTTGACAGCGCGTAGGGGCAGTTGATACATGCGGCCGCTCAATTAAGTTGCCTATACATTGTGGCGAACGTGAACGTGTGACGTCACATTGTTAATCAAATGGGGGAACGTACACGTTCACGTCGCGTACCATGGAATGTATAGCCACCTTTATAGGCGACGTACAGTTTGCCCTAAGGTTCATTACGTTTTAGAAAACTTTTTCTAAACTCTTAGATATGTGCGTCAATTTATTAAAAACTCTTAAAGCATTGTTCTATAAATTGTCAAATTCCCTTCTAAATGTTACTACAATTATCTATATACATAATTTTTGTTGTTGATTAGAATCAATTCACTACCCAAGTGCCACGCCAGGATTGACCTCCTCACTTAAATAGTATATGGACGACCCCTAAATAACGGACACCAGCTATTGAATTTTTGGTTGCCATTTTCAATTTTAAAAACCTGACATCAAATTTGAATTCAGTGATCCCGAAAACCTCCGAAAAAACATTTTCAGTCGTTTACGATGAATTTTTAAAAACGTTGATCATTTTTGTTATTTGTGGCTGAATATGGTGAAAAATAAACCTAAAACACCTATTTGCATCCCTTAAAAAATCATGTCTGCCGAAACAAAAAAACACTTATCAAATATTTTTCATTATCATAGGAAGAAGTCAATCCCGGCGTGGCACCTGGGTAGTGTTACTTGTAAGTTTTAATGGTCGTAAACATATTTTTTGATAGAATACGTAAAAACAATCAAATTTCAATTTTTTAAAAACCGTTTCCTTACTTTTAGCAAAAACAATTCAATTTGACAATTTTAAAACAAATAGATTTCTTCTTTACTTATAGAGCAATACCATGCATATGCTAAATTCGTAAATGTTTGTGTAATTAAAATCTGTGGTGCAATAAAACATTTCATTTACAAACTGCGTATCTATTAATACTTCTGCTTCAGAATAATACTAAACTGCGTAAATAACATTGCAGAGAACCGATAGATATTTCCTCAAATATATTATAACATGATATAATACTTTGAATGCACTAAAGTAGAGGAAACTGAGGCACCTTTTTGCAATTGTCAGTTACCAGAGATAGGGGCCGTACACATAATACGTCACGCGTCTAGGGGGAGGGAGGGGGTCTGAGAATTGTGACTAAGTGTGACATGGGGGAGGGGGGGGGGGTGAACTCATGTGTTACGTCACAATCTTTTAAATTCAAAGATTATAAGAAATTATATGTGACAATGTCACTTTTTCTAAATAAAACAAGTTAAAAATGCTTTAAACTATTTAATATCTATTATGTACCTGTTTAACATCTATTGGCATATTATTTATAATATGATGATAAATAATATATTCTCTTAATTTGAATCAGTTAAAAATCATGGTTTTAACTGACAATCAGTAGTGACTGACTTTTTGCTTCTGAATCAGTTAAAAATAACTGAAAAATTATCCACAAAACACCGAAATTTTTCTAAATATTGTATATTAAAGATTTGCTTGCATAATTCGAAAAATTTACTTGCAAAGTTTATTTTAAAATTGTGTAAAGATTTAAATTTCTCACTCCAATAAATGTCTATCGTCAAATTTTCTTAAAAATATAGCTTGAAACTTTCCTGAACATTTGAATTGCATTTTCGACTATACTTTCGTGAAAATTTTCCTGAAAATTTAACTTAAATTTTCAGGAAAGTTTCGCGCTACACATTTATTGAAGTGGGATATTTAAATCTTTACACAATTTTCACTAAACTTTGCATTTAAATATTTCAAAGCTTAATTGCGAGTAAATCTTTAGTAAATTTTTAGGAAAGTTTCGGTGCTATGTATAGGTAGTTAAACGTGACTAATTGAATCAATCAAAAACAATTGTATTGAAACATCAGTTATTTTCAACTAATTGTCAGAAAAAAAATATTACTATTTGAATTAGTGACTGACTTTTTGCTTCTAAATCAGGTATTTTTAACTGCGATTCAATAATTTATAGTGTAAGATATAATATATATATTGTCCAATGTATAAAATTTACAGTGAAATTTACGTGTGTGACGTGACGTAGGGGGGAGGGGGGGTTCAAGATTTGTGACGAAGTGTGACATAGGGGGAGGGAGGGGTTAAAAAGGGTCCAAAATCGCGTGACGTATTATGTGTACGGCTCCATACATACATGGGAACATATTTAAAAACACGTTTTTTGAGTTCCTGAGGTTGAAAAACATCATAATCAATAAAAAAATTACGGTTGAAAATGGTTTTAAATCTTTTTATTTCAGCATCCTTAGCAAGTCGGTATATGTGCATCCTCTTAGACAATAAAGTGTATGTATAACCTCGCGAGATGGAAACTTCGCTGTGGTCACATAAGACTAATGTGTGGTTTGAATCAGAATCGGTTACAAAACTGTTAAATGTGGTGTGTGTACGCCTGACGTGAAAGTGTATGTAGTGACTTCAGAAAAATATGTTACTACTTTCTTGGCATATAAAATTGACATTGATCGCAACTGATGTTTAGGGTTTCGTGGCCAATGGCCGAAACCCTTATAGCGAGACTCCGGTGTCGGTCCGTAATTTTCCCTATCAGCCGTTGCCATGGAAACCGTCGCTGTGCTAATGGTTACCATAGGAACGGTTGCTATGGTAATGGCTACCATGGCAACGGTTGATATAGTAATGGTTACCATAGCAATAGTTTCTATGGTATCCAAAGAAACTACTAGATGTGTTTAAGATTGATTTTATTAATTATTTATTCTTTTTATCCTTTTAGGCCTTGAAACACTAAGATGTAAGCGCCTTGTGCCTGCTTCTCTCACTGATTTTTTAAAAGCCTGTATTAATCTTTAAATTTAAAGTTTTATTAAATTAATAAACTTCTTATTATTTTTAAGGTAAATAATTTTTTTTAGCAAAATAATTTGAGAAGTTAATATATATATATATACAGCAGTTTGGAATATAGTGATTGTAATAGTACAGTGCGTCCGTGTTTATACTGCGTTAGTTTAGGTTAGTTTTAGGATTATACATATAAGCGAGCGAAATTAAATGTACGTGTGAAGTAAGAATGTGAACAAAATCGAATGTAGTTGTATGCGAGGTTGGTTCATATGTGAGTAAATTCGAAGAAAATAGTTTTTAATTTTTACTTCATAGAGTATTGCAGTTGTGATCCGTTCTGATTACAAACCTATCTGTGCAGGCGTCACCAGTTGCTTATTTTACAAAACTGATCTGTAGTGAGTAAAGGTACGTTCATATTTTTCTCCATTTCCATTCCGTCTTTATTAATCTTTATTAGTAGCGACCTACTGCCAGTCCTAACCCACTATAACCCCTAACCCTTCTTTTGGAGTCCTTTACCCACCTCAAAACTGTCGAAAGACTAAAGTCTTTGGGGGTGAGTCTCCAACTCTGTCGCAAATCGCGTTTTTAAATTTCTGCTAATATTCTGTGTCAATGGTTGAAAGAGGAATGCAGCAAATTAAAATAAATAAAATCAATAAATAAAAGAAATATCCAAAGTAAACATTATAGAAAAATTAAATAAATAACAATTATAAATAATAATAAACGAATAATAAATTTGTATGAAAAATTATTTCCGCTCTTTGTCACTATTCTTCCTTTTCTACTTTTGGTTCTTGTGAGATTCTAGTTAATCTCTTTCTTTTCGTCAAAATTTTCCTGTAACAAAAAGCAGTATGTACTCTTCTTACACTGTGCTGCCTTACGATCGGCTTAAACGCTCTTAAAGCACACAGCCTTGCATTCTCTGTCTTCGCGGCCGTAGCACTTTAATAAATAACAAATTTTATTTTCAAATAAAAGTCTTATTTTTTCAATTGGTAACAAAAAATCTACGTAACACCCTAGAGAGGGGGGAGGGGACAGAAAGAATAAGGATCCATTAGATGGTGTATATCACAGTATTGAGGCTTCGTGTGTCTTGCGATAGACGAATTTAAGCGCACTTGATACAGCGGGTCTTTGACGTATAGTTATTATGATGTGCATTGTCGACTTTTGTCCAGTGCACACCATTAGATCTCGGCTGTCCTGGTCGACAAACTGATTGTACCATTAGACGGCTGGTCCAGGCAAATACGAGTACTCCCAATTTTCAAGTCACTCTGTAGACGCAACATTTCGTGACAAGTAGGGGAGACTAAGCACGGTTATTACAGTGGGCAGTTGTTACAAATGGAATATCTCAAAAACAGTGAATTATAGAGATGGGGTTCCAAAGGGAAAAATGTTTAGTTTTTATGTACGAACTTGCTGCAATATGTTTAAAAATTATATGCAAGCTTTACAAGTAAAAAATAGATACATTGGTTTTTAGAGGCCAAAAGTAAATATTTCTCTGGTTGATATTTTTTAAATAACTAATAGACCTTTATACTTAACAAAGTAAATTTTTTTAATATAAATTCTATGAGGATTAAGTTTTCAAAAACTGTCTTGGTTGTCCACATTTAGTGTATTCTTTTTTAATAAAGTGATTTATTGTAAACAATGTACCTGTTGTGCAGTTGTTACAAGTATTAATGAGAACGGATATTTTTAAAAAAATCGAAACAATATTAGTGCTGCCATCTCTATGACACTGTCACGCACTATTACGTTGAGTCAAAAATTATGAATAATTAATAAAAGTTGTTATAAGAAATTGTTTGTCTTCAATTTGGAAATATTATAGATGATTCTTGGTATTGTAACAACCGACATTCACTTTGTGCAGTTGTTACAATTTACACGCTGTCACTCAAATTCCTCCAGCTAATTAAATAATAGTTGTAGAGCTAAATCAATTATGGCCCTTAAAAACTAGATAATATACCTTTGATTTAATTGTATGACCAAACAAGTTACAAGTCATCAGAAAGTGAATAAATTGGATAATTTGTAACACGTTCTTTGTGCTACAGGTTCTCAGATTTTGAATCATCTCAACAGCAAGAGAAATTACTTTCGCTACAAGGCGGTAAAAGTATTGGAGCTACAGTAATCAATACCATTACTAAGGAAACCATATGGGATCCCATGTAGGATTCCATATGGTTTCCTATGCGAAATCATATATCGCATCTTATATGAAATCCTATGTGACTTCTCATATAAAATGCTATGTAAAATCCTATGTGAAATCCCAAGTTGAAATTTAATTTAGGGTTTGACATGGGAAAATTTTCCCAAAAAATTAAAAAGGATTTCACTTGGGGGCAGGGTTGAGCGCGTAAAATACCTCAGGTAAATTACATGGATTTTTACAGTAAAATACTTCGTATTTTACTTCAAAAGTTTTATACACAATGTATTTTTTGGGGGAGGGGGGTAAAATACGTATTTTACCTATGTAAAAAACCAAGTATTTTACGTCAAAAACCTCGAGTGACGCGTCACTTCCCAACACTGCTTGGGGGGTAATAATGGGGGAAAAATAATTCTAGATAAATGTTACTGTTTTTCACATGGGATTTGGTTTAGGATTTGACTAGGGAAATATTTATTTAAAACTTTCTTCAGGAAATAGTAAAGTTTTTTCATAGGGTTTCTTTAAGGAAACTGACGTAGGGAATTGATAGGGAAAAATATGCAGGATTTCATGTGGGAATTCATATGGTTTAATGCATAGACAAACTCGCTTGCTGGGTGTAAAATCATGATACCTCGGATTTGATTTGAAAAATATGACATATCGTCGTTTGGTTTGAAGAACACGACACGTCGAAAACAATAATTTCTTATTGAAATTTTAGTTGGTACCACTGACCGCGACATTTAAAATGATTTGATATATTAAATTTTTAAAAGATATATAATAAGAGATTAAAATAATAAAAGTAAAATCTTGCACTTTACTCATATAATTTTAAATATTTCACGACATGAAATTTGTTTTAAATCAGTTGAGACTAGTAGAAATTGAACATGGATCCACTGGTGTCTACTGGTTTTAACTTCGAAATTCTATTTATGTAACTGAAACGAATATCCAATATAAAATTGAAATGTATTTACTGTGGATTGTCCTCTTCAATTTTTGTTTCGACTTGTTTTAACATGGATTTCTAATCTTATAATTTCTACTTGCATTTCCAAGTTCGCACATACTACAAGTATCAGCTTGCAATTCCAAATACAAAAATTAGGTTTAAGTATCTACTTGGTTCAATTTGGATTCTCGAATACTACATTCTACTTCATGTCAAATTAAAAATCATCAAGCTAAGTTTAATTTGAATCGGGGATGCATTCTATTTGGAATTTCAAGTTCAAATTTAAAGAGTTTAATTTATAGCGAATTGGAAGTCACAGAATTGTTATTTTTGCCAATTTTTATTTTGTAAATTGTCATTTTTGCAAATTTCCATATTTACAAAATATTTATTTTTGTTAACTGTTATTTTACAAAATGTTATTTTTGCAAACTTGCTTTCTTCGCATTGACAGTTTAACGAATTGACAGATGCTTCTACTAATAATTGTTACTTTTTGCGAAATTGTTTTGTTGTGAATTTTTATTTTTGCTAATTGTAGTTTTGCAAATTTCCATTTCTCGAATTGATATTTTTATGAATTGTTACTGTTGTTATAAACAATTTTTAAATCTAATTCTCCTTCGATCTGACATATTATGAAGCGAAATCATTTGTTTCAAATATTTGACACATATTAAATTTCGCGGTCAGTGGTACCAACCAAAATTTGAATAAAAAATTTTAGTTTTCGACGTGTCATGTTCTTCAAACTAAACGACGATATGTCATGTTTTTCAAATCAAAAACGAGGTATCATGTTTTTCAACGCAAATCCGAGGTTCATGATTTTACACCCAGCAATACTGTTCAAATTTCCCATGTCTATTCCTAACTAAAATAATGTCTCAATTTCTTATATGGTTTGACATGAGAATCCACATGGTTTTCTTGATGGAATCAATTATAAATATTACAAAAAAGAGTTCGAAAGGCTTATAAAAGGTATTTTTCCATTTGCTTGCGTTAACTGTAGAAACTGTGACAACTCTGGGAACAAGACAGTACCTTTTACCAGTGATCTGTCCACTTTGTAAAGAACACCAGACTGTACCGCGTCTAGTGGTCTCATTAGTTTCTGTTAAGGTTGCCATTGAATAGGGGCAAAAGAAATATTTTAATAATACCATACTAAAATGGCATAAATGTTTAATAGTCTTGTAATTTTTTGTTTTTTTTTATAATTATAAACACGTCAGAACTCAGTATTGAAATAATTATTGTAATTATTACTACAATTACTGTAATTATATTTGATCGATATGAAATTGTTTCTTAAAGCATTTGTATATTTAATAAGTTTTGTAGTGTTACCAATCAGTTAAGATAATGTTATTATGATATCGAATCACTTAAGATAAGATTTGGTATTTGAAGGTTCAATGAAGTTTTGTATGTCACGAGCATGATGTGGGGTTTGTTTTTTAGCAGAAGAGGTTAGTTAGAAATGATTTCATAGTTTTCTGTAAGTTTTACGATAGTGGTAAATAACATTGTTCTTATAAAAAGAGTGATCATGACAATAAAATTAATTTTTTGATATTTTAGGGCTTTAATGAAGCACTCAGTTTATCTCAGAGCTATTCAGGCTCCTTACATATATGCCTCTTGTTGAAAACGCCATTCTTGTCGAGAAAGTTTGACGTTACCTAAGTAAAAAGCCTGCAGACAGTCAGGTGTTTTCAAAAACTGAGAAATGATAGAATACCAGTTTTTCGTATTTTCTGAACCATTGTACATTCTGCTGACTATTTTACATAAGTATCCTCTGCTTAGTGCAGAATGTACTATTACTTGAAATATTGTTGTTCAACCCTCATTGCTTTAGTTTCATATTTCAGTGTATAAAAAACGAAGCTTGAAATTGTGCTATTACAGCGTTCAAAGATGTTCTTAAATGAAAATTGTATTTACATATTTCAATTTTTCATTCCATTGTCTGCAGGTTCAGCCCTTATGAATGGGAAAATCCTCATCCTTGCAGGAGCAAATCAGATGTCATAGAAAACGATTTCACTCTTCTTAACTCTCTCTGGTTCACCATAGGCTCTCTTATGCAGCAAGGTTCTGATATAGCCCCAAAGTAAGTTTGCTCTTACTGTCCATTTTTAAAAAAATATTCTTTTATATTTATTAACGCATTAAACATGTTGTAACATTTTTTAAAAAATATACATAGAATGTAAGAGAGAGAGTGATTCTGTTGGTTTTGGATTTATGAAACCCTTCTTCTCATATAGAACTGATTTGTACTAGATTTTTACTTATAATAGCTTCAACTTAAACATGGGCACCATTTCGAAGAAAGTGAAAGAAACTGGGGTAGACTTTTAGATCGATATAGGATCACTTTCCCTTGAAGCTCATTTTATATAAAATATGCTTTTCTAATGCGAATTATCAATAATTTTATAAAAAAATTCAACATGAAACAAATATTCTTTTTCTTAAAATGTAATATAAAAACAAGAAAATTATACATTAAAATTCAGAAATTCACTCTAAACAATGGTTGCTACATCTATGTCTTGTGAAAGGGACGTTAAGTGAAAAAAATTAATTTAGAGTTATTTATATCATTCTATATTTTTTAAGATGCTCTTTTATATGCAAAAGGCAAAAATAATTTCTACGTATAGGTTTTTTTTGTTATTAATGTTTAAAAATAAGCATGTTGAATGTTTACACGTGGTTGCTCAGAAAAGCAGCCCCTCTACTTTCCAATACTACTTCACTGGTCATGTCTGTGCACTTCGTTTCAATGCAAAGTCTTGACCAATCAGAGTGGCTCCGCTTTAAATGCCTTTCCTGTAAAATTCGTCTATTAGCAGCTAAGGTCACATTTGTTTTTGAACAATGCGTTAGAAGAATTCTAACATTAACTATACAGCTCTCGACTAGTGTATGGGCTTGCTCTGGGAATATAAGAAGCTTATTCGTCCAGGCTATGTTGGCAAGGTGCGTTGACAGGCGTAGGTCCCGCGACAGGCAGCTATGAAGTGGGGTTTGAGTCCTCACATGTCCAAAATCCAAATAATTATCGTATGAAACACCTAACTCTAAACCAAAGAGTTTAATTGACTTCTGACAGATGTCACTATTTGCTGATAAAGTCGAAATCTTCATTCGTAATTAAAAGATTCTCAATCAGCGAGAAATTCTAACATTAATATATGTATTACAGTTTGCAGGTCGTATAATTCCTTGTAATATGTCCGGACAAATTAAAAGTCAGAATTCATTCGGATTACAGGTTCCAGTTATTAATTCATTTCAATTCATCGTGACGAGTAGGAAAACGGAATTTAAATGAATTCAACCAAAAATCAATTCATTTCTATTCAGTTTAATTTGTTTTCAGCCCGTTTCATACCTAATATTTAACTACATTGTTTTGCATAGTCCATTTTGTAAAACAAATTTTTGTCACAATTACAAAAGAAATGGGTTAACCTGTCGAAGTAAAAATTCATGCATTTTCAAAGTCAAATACGGCCATAATAATAGATACAATTGAGCCTCCGCGGGCAATAACTCTATCTGTGCTCGGATACAGAATTTCAATTTCAAGCCAGTCAGCTGTCAAAAAATGAGAAAAAATAAAAGTAGGAAATTTTTATTTTGAAACATACTACCATATAGAGCATAAAAATGCGCAACGTTTCTGTCTTTGAAATTTCTTTGTAGGACTTTTATTTTTAATAATAATGGACGAAAACTGAATTTTTTGTATTCTTTAATTTCATTGAATTTTAAAACATAAATCGACTTTTCTCAAACAAATCTTCATGGAATTAATTAAAAATTTATATACTTATCATATTTTCTTAAACATTATGTATCTTATTGTTAATCCGATTTAAATAAAATTTTCCAGAAAACATCTTCACATATTAATAAACAAATGTCTCACTGAAAGATTCGTCAACTCGAAAGTTCCCCGCATACTTTTTCTCGTCAAAGTTGAGAAAACGAATTTACCGACAGGTCTGTATTTATATTAACAAATAATTTTTAATTAAGTCCATGAAGATTTGTTTGAGAAAAGTCGATTTATGTTTTGAAATTCAATGAAATTAAAGAATAAAAAAAATTCAGTTTTCGTCCATTATTGTTAAAAATGAAAGTCCTACAAATAATTTTAAGGACAGAAAAGTTGCGCATTTTTATGCTCTATATGGTAGTATGTTTCAAAATTGAAATTTCCGACTTTTATTTTTTCTCATTTTTTGACGGCTTGACTGGCTTGAAATTCTGTATCTGTATCTGTAATTCCTGGATGAATTTGAAACTGAAAATAAATAATATGGAGATTTCATCACTGAAAACACAACCAATAGTCGTTCCACCCTTTTTCCTCAACACAAAGAAAAATGTATACCTCGTCAGACGGAAATCGGTCGCAACGGAAGCCCTGATAATGTAAGGGTGCAGTTTCATGTGAGCAGAAAGCGTAAACAAATTTTCTGACGACGAATAGCTCGAACGAAGAAAAGCCAGACTTGTGGCACAGGGATTTTCCGTCGCGTGGATTTCGTCGATATCTTTGCCCAAGTCGAACGCTTCACCTCTCTCCGACTCCTGATCAGTTTATGTACTAAATATTTTTTGAAACTACACTAATTAGATGTCCAGATATTGCCCGCACATAAGCTCACTCCTATGTATAGAAAAATGTCTGGTCAAACTACATAATTATATACGAGATAGAAGCTCTACTGCAAACATTTCGTGAAACAAATCACGTAAAACTATACCGAAATGGTCTAGATTCTGAACAGTTTCATTACATTTCATTTCATTACATTACATTCATTACATTTTTCTTTTAATATTTTGTTTAAACAGATTTCCTCTTAAGACAGTCTTTTAAATTATATCCTTTACTTATTAAAAGAATTTTAATTACTATTAAAAGAACAGGTTTTCGAAAGAAAAATTAACAAATTGGTTATTAATTTATTAAAATATTGTTGATAATGTATACGATCTTGGGAAGGTAAGATTTGAATAAAAATTCAAATTCAAAAGTGTGTCGTTAAAAGAGCGACGTTTCGTTGGCTAGGGTTTGCCAGTCTCATCAGGCTAAAATTTATTAAATAGATAGGTTACACTTCAGTATTTTTTTTTGTAAAGGTCTAAAAGCACTATTTCTACACGAAAAAATGTTGGGTGACGAGCCGTTCCAAGTAGACCAAAAATTTACGAGCGCGATATGACTTTAGTTTGGAGGACTGCATTTCTAACTCGGGCGTGCTGAGCGTCCAAGATGCGGCTATTGCAGTCTCAAGGTTTTGAGTCTCAAATCTTGGGTGTTCAGCGATACCGACATAGGAACGTAGATTTTCCGAATTGAGATCGTAGCACATCCAAACTATAGTTCCTCCACTTTCCTACGATTGGGATTGCACGGTACTTAACATTCTTTCAGTGTATAAATTAACAATAATGATATACCTAAATTTTGTTAGAACATCGAACACATGACAACTTGAAGAAAATTAAAAAAATTCTAAAGAACAATAGTTATCCTTTAGATTTAATCGAAAAACATATTGGTATTAGAATGAACAAATTAAAATATTCGAATGAGAATAATAACAACCAAAATAGAGTTAATATACACTACCGTCGGGAATTATCGGTACGGCTTCACGCGCACGGCCCAAAAACATACCAATCTTTAAATTACGATTTTTTTGTAAATACAAATTTCAGAAAATTAACAAATATACCATTCGAAAGATTATTAAATTCTGCGATTAATGATACAAAACTGAAAATTTTAATAATTTATACAAAGTTTGCAGCAATCGGCAAATTTGACAAAAAAATTTAAAAAATAAAATTTTTTTGGCAATTTTTTCAACCCCTGCACATTTTTTAAAAATTGTAGAAAAAATTTGAAACTTATGTAGGTGTAATCATTCAAGTTTCATCTTTAATTTAAGACCAAAAAAGTTTAAAAATCTTATTCGATTCGTAAGATATCATTATAAATGGCCGAGCATTTTCAGCCAAAATCCGTTCAAAATCGACTAATTCAATGTATTTGTCAAAAAACATGCTCGGACGTTTATAATGATATCTTACGAATCGAATAAGATTTTTAAACTTTTTTGGTCTTAAATTAAAGATGAAACTTGAATGATTACACCTACATAAGTTTCAAATTTTTTCTACAATTTTTAAAAAATGTGCAGGGGTTGAAAAAATTGCCAAAAAAATTTTATTTTTTAAATTTTTTTGTCAAATTTGCCGATTGCTGCAAACTTTGTATAAATTATTAAAATTTTCAGTTTTGTATCATTAATCGCAGAATTTAATAATCTTTCGAATGGTATATTTGTTAATTTTCTGAAATTTGTATTTACAAAAAAATCGTAATTTAAAGATTGGTATGTTTTTGGGCCGTTCGCGTGCAGCCGTACCGATAATTCCCGACGATAGTGTATATAGTCAAATCCCCAAGGTCGCTTTGCCCTTTAACGAAAAATATTTCTTTAAGTTGCATGGGTTCGATGTTCTAACAAAATTTAGGTATATCATTATTGTTAATTTATAGAAATAGTGCTTTTAGACCTTTACAAAAATAAATACTGAAGTGTAACCTATCTATTTAATAAATTTTAGCCTGATGAGGTTGGCAAACCCTAGCCAACGAAACGTCGCTCTTTTAGCGACACACTTTTGAATTTTTATTCAAATCTTACCTTCCCAAGATCATATACATTATCAACATTAACTAACTATGGAAGGATATATTTCTAACAACTTATTAAAATATTATTAGTATTATTAATAAATAATTAGTTAGTCAACTACAACTATTATTTATTAACTTTAATGATAAATCGCCCAAACGCCCATCCTGCCGGAAGGACGTTCCGAAAAAAAAGGCTTTTAAAAAAAGGGAATTCAACTTTTCTTTTCTGGCACTCTTTGGTGTTAAAGTAGACGAAAAGACGAAAAAATCCATATTTTTGACTTTTTAAAATAATAATATTAAACCATTTTTCAAAGCCTTCAAACTTGCTATGTCTCTAAACAGTGAAAAAAACATTTTTTCGTAAATTTAATGTAAAATCCCCAAAAATCAATATTTTTTGACCGGACAAGTCTCTTTCTCTTCAGAAACGTTCAAAGAATGAAACCTAATTTTTTAATTAAAAAAAATTCATTTTTAATATTTTTCAGTATATTTGAGTAATACTCAGGCGCGAGTCCCTTCGAAATTGCTCTATAAAATTAATATGGAAGCAGATAAATGTAAAACTAAGTATATCGTTGGAAAGGTAATGAAACAAGCTTTCAAATGATGTAAATATCGAGTCTTTAAATTTATAAACCTGGGCTAGGTAGTCTCTTGAATAAAGCGAAAAGCGTCCTGCCGGCAGGACCGGGCTTCGTCATTCTGTGACTAAAAATTAGGTGAATTTTTGGAATATGTAACTTCTTCAAACTACCCAGCCCTTAGTTTTGAACTTACAAGCTCGATATTTATATGCGCTGAAAGCTTGTTTCGTTACCTTTCCAATGATATATTTCGTTTTTTATTTATCTGAATCCATGTTAGTTTTCTTTAGTGATTTCGGAGGGACTCACCTGAGTCTTTTTCGTCCTGCCGGAAGGATGTTGGACGATCTATCATTAAACAAAAATAAATTAAATACTCCCCGACGTTTTCCGGAATTCAATATCACGAAATCATTTTTCCTGACATAGTCTTTCCCGAATACAATTTCCCGACAAGTATTTTTCACGACTCGAAATAAAGTGTACTCCCTCTCAAAATTATTCGCACCAGGCTATAAAAGATAAGTTACATTACACAAAAAAGGTGGCGTAAAGTGTGTATTACAGTGGTGTGCTCTAATTAATCAGTGAAATTTCACTAATTCACAGCGTATATACGCTAATTGAATCAGTGATATACTTATCGCTGAGAAATTAGTGGAATTTCGCTAATTCAGATTTAGAGAGTGTTGAATAAAATTTTTAATACTATTAAATGTAGAATTTGAATATTGCTTTCTCATAGAAAACTTTGTTTTAGTGAAAAAATTTTAATTATGATTTCTTTAATGATTTCCATGTTTTAAGAACTCAGAAAATTATAAATCGTGTTTTTGGAAATGTTCTAATGAGTGCGTATATGTCACTTTGGAGGACAACTTATAAAAACGGTTACTGAATTATTATAAATATTTCATTCCTTTTTTGGCTGATATTTAAAAAAAAATGTATTTGCTAATAACACTAGATGGGATCTGTTCAAGAATTATGTAAGCCTGTTAAGAAGAGAGAAGGACTCTGATTTGCTTATATTTTCTTAGTCAGGGGAAGGGTATTTAGAATCAATGAAAATTTCATACGGTCGAACAAATGAGTGACTTTACTCCCTGTCGTCAGCTATTTAAAAGTGCAATTTTTGTTCATGTGGGATAAAAATTAATTTTGAAAAATTAAGAATGTAGGATAAAGTTCATAGAAATATATAAAATTTCCTTTAAATCTACTTTTTTCATGATAATGCTAATTGATTTTTTTTCAAAAACTTTCATTTGCGATATTAAATTTACCATTTTGATTATTTGTTAAATGACTCTTTCTGCATCAGCTAATAAATTTTTTGCAGACTCTTGAGACATTTCACAGATATCTGCAAGACATTTTACAAAATTTCAGAAATATCCCCTGGTCATTCTAAGGATATAAAAAGTTCCATCTCTTATTAGGATATTTGTGAGAATACATACACAATATATCTTTGGGATGTCTTTGCCTTGATATCTATAGATCTATCAGGGACGTGATTTGTATATCCATAGAATAACTTGTTCTGTACGGGTTGCTTCTGGAATTTAAAGTTGAATATTTGGGCTCTCCCTTAAACCATATTTAAATAGTTTGTAATATTGCATTACTTGGATAAAATGCCTTTAATAGTGCCAAAAATGAGATTTATTTACACGATTTAAAGGAATTTTCCATAATGCTGGTATACTACAATTTCAGAAAAGTACAGAAATCAATTTTGAGTTTTCGTGAAACTTTAAATTTGTTTCTCTGTGATTATAAAATATTTTCTACATTAAAAGCATAAGTTAATCATTGAAATATACTTTTTGTCTGAATTGATGCGCAGCATTGGATACATGTTACAGGGCTATGTCGACAAGAATGGTTGCTGGAATGTGGTGGTTCTTCACTTTGATAATGATTTCGTCTTATACAGCAAACTTGGCTGCCTTTCTCACAGTTGAAAGAATGGATTCGCCAATTGAGAGTGCGGATGATCTAGCAAAGCAAACTAAAATAAAGTATGGTGCTCTTGAAGGAGGAAGCACAGCTACATTCTTTAGAGTAGGTATTTAATAGCACAATATACATATTAGGGGTGTACAAAAAGCTCGAAGCTCTATCTTTTCTATCTATCTATTCAAATACTCGTCGCATATGTTACTTATAATTAGTAAATTGAAATACAGTTTGAAATTGAAGACTCATAAACTTTATTGATTTAATATATCTCATAAATTCGAAATTTTCTATTTATTAATAGTTTTTTTTCTAATTTAGAAGCTCGAATTCACTCCACTATTAATGGAAAATTTCGAGTACTAGATGCATCGATCTTAGTTAGAGCTCGGCTATTCGAGCTTTTTGAACAACGCGTCCTGCTAAAAGAATTTGTTAAAATATGCAGAATAATAAAAAAATATTCTCTTTACTTTAATTGCGTTATTAACTTTATTGAAATTGTTTTTATGATTTAGGATTCTAATTTTTCAACATACCAGCGCATGTGGTCTTTTATGGAATCTGCAGAACCATCTGTATTTACTAAAAGTAATGTAGAAGGTGTTAACAAAGTTGTTAAAGGAAAGGGAAGTTATGCATTCTTAATGGAATCTACATCAATAGAATACGTAATTGAGAGAAACTGTGAACTCACTCAAGTTGGAGGATTACTGGATTCGAAAGGATATGGCATTGCTATGCCTCCGAGTACGTTATATCTTTAAAGCGAGGGGCATTTGATTCTGAATCATGTAGAAACAAACAATAGAATAAACCGCAAACCTCTAGCTCCATTAAATTTTTTACAAATGCACTTCGAAAATGGACGCAATTTACTAAAAAATCGTAAAAACATCAGTACAAAAGCAATGTATAAAAATTCATCGGATTTGGTTGAAAGTTGAAACTTGTTACTTGGGGTTCTCGGGGTCGCCGATTACAAATCAAGCATCAGATTTCCAAAATACAAAATGTAGCATCCAATATGGCGAAAACTTAACTTAAAAAGTTGTTGATTTTCTATGACACTTGGAATGTGGAGGTTTCCGGTCTAATTACTAATCTGGAATTAGATTTTTCATATTCAAAATGTGTGTTCCCATATAGCGAGCAAACTCTAAGAGTGCAGTCCCATGCTGGTAGAATAGTGGAGTAGTGTAATAGATTTGACCAATCAAAATAAGTGTTAAAAAAATCCAGTCATCTGATTGGTCAAAACTGTTCCACTATTCTATTAATCTACCACCATGGGACTGCACTCTAAAAATCAATACGATTTTGTATTCTGAAAATCTGATGCCATATTCGTAATCAGCGACCCCAAAACCCCCAGAGCAACCGCTTTCAAACCATACCAACGTGCAGGAATATCAATATCGACTTGTTAAGTTGAAGAGAGTTTTTCTCGAAAATTTATTTTGGACGTAAGGTCCCTTTTAACTTACCACGTCACATCTTGTGATTTTAAAAGATTTTTGTTCTAATAATGTTAAAACGATTCACATGTTAGTTTAGTAATTCAAGAATAGATTGCAGTACAGTGCTTTCGTACTCTTTGCTTCAAATTATTCTATTTCTAATTGCGAGCAATTTTCAATACCATATTTTCGTTAATTCTTTTGTTATTATTTGCAATAAATATATTATAACATTCTGTTTCTATAAGAAGCAGAGTTAATTTTAAAAAAAAAATAGTTAAATTCAAATTAAAAAATATTACGTTAGTGTTTTTTCTTAAATAGGATTTTTATTATTATTATTATCAATTTTTAAAAATAAGCAAAAAAAATTTTATATTTTGGATTTTTAAAAATTTTTCACAGATTCGCCATACAGAACTGCTATAAGCGGAGCAATATTAAAGCTTCAAGAAGAAGGTACATTACATACATTGAAAACAAGATGGTGGAAGGAAAGAAGGGGAGGTGGTGCTTGCAAAGTAAGTGATATGATTAAGATAATTGCTTGGTTTAGTCGTTTTCACAAAAATTAACCATGAAAAAAGAATTAGAACGTAGAGTTTTTCGAATTGTGATAATTCATGATCTCGAGAAAGCTTCATTTTTAAATTGGAGTGAATTCTCAATTCAGCAAATGTAACAACGAACGTTGAAAATACCTCTATTTAAAATAAAGTTTGATTTAAATAAATATCAGATTAACAGTGTTGGCAATATGAGTTTAGTTCTTTAAACCCATTATTTATAGACATTTTATTAATGAAATTTAAATTTATTTTCAATCCTGATTGAAAATCCCCACATTGGAAACTACATGAGACTCTATGTGAAAAACTACGTGAAAGCCCACTTCCATAATGGAAACCATGTGGATTCTCATGTAAAGCAATATGAGGAAATTGAAACACGATTTTAGGTAGGACTTGACGTGGGAAATTTAAAACGCTCCTCTATGTATAGAACCATATAAATTCCTACGTGAAATCGTGCAAGTTTTTCTGAAACTGTTTCCTTGTGATAGCCTCTAGAGTGGTATTACCCCTTAACATATATGAATTTTGCCGCGTTACTTCGGCGCTTCGAATGAGCCTGAAATATCAATAAAATTGATCTTTCTTTTCAGCACCAATCTCAATTTCCTCTATCTTAAAACGTTTAACAATAACTTCTTGAATTCTGCAACAGAAAACTAAAAACCGCTAAGATTATGTTTCCTGATTATTTTCTGTCTCATCAAAATTCTTCAACTCTTGAAAAGCTCTATTCATCTCCTCCTCCAAAGAAGCGGTTCTTTTTCTTCCCTTGTACTCATGATAATGAAAATTTTAACTGTTGCATCAGTTAAGATTAAAAGAAGAAACGAATGAAACAAGAAGCATAAGATGTGAGATATACAGAAGGTGGATGGGACACTTTTCAGGTTTCATCTACGATCTATCTGTAAACTGTGCAACGACTAACCTTACGGGAGAGAAATTAGAAGATTAAAAAGGAAATGCATATAATCATGGTGTAATCATCATACATTTTTAATAAAATAAATAATTCTTTGCATTTTACGCGAAGTAAAGTTAAATAGTATAAGGTTAGGAAAACAACTGACATGAAAAAAGATGAGGTTTTGTCACCTTAAAACAGATTTTTGAGCAAAATTATAAATTTTTAGAAGAAACGACTAGACTTTTATTTGCTATCATGGAGATCAGCTTTTCCCATTAGATTTATTACAATAATATGCAACTGATTTCTTAAAAATATGAGAGACATTAAATTTTACCACCCACATCTGATGAGTATTGACACAACTCCAAAGAATATTTCACTCTTTAAACCGGGCGATTGCATATATCCTAAACACTTTTAGTCGCCAGACGCTTCCAAACAGTTCAATGCGTCATTATCTCCCTTATAAAGAAGCCCTTATCTTATTATTCATCATCTGCAAGACCAAGTCTATGAACTGGACATATTCAGTCGATGAACAAACGCTCACGCGTCTCCTTTAATTATCAAAGTGATCAGAAACACTTCCCCTCATTCTATAAACAGTAGAGTAGAACGGGGCGAGGCAGCCAAGACGGCACATTTTGATTTGCGAGGCAGTAAAGGTACTGCCACAGCTCTCCATTTACAGCTGCCTGCGCAGGCAGCCGGGCTCAATTAGGCGGCAGATTTGAATTAATATTTTCTTTTTAATTAAAATTATTATTAAAACTGAATAAAAAATAATAATTATTATTATTTTTATTATTATCTTCAATTTAATTTAATTATTAGAATTAAAAATAAAAAATTATTAATTTAATTTTAATATTAATTTAAATCTGCCGCCTAATTGAGCCCGGCTGCCTGCGCAGGCAGCTGTAAATGGAGAGCTGTGGCAGTACCTTTATTTGAAAAGATTTTTTCAATTTCAATGTCGCGTTAGAAACCTTGTGTTTTGGGCTAAAAAATCGCCATAGGATATTCTGATGTAGGTTGCACTTAAGAATTTCTACAACCGTTTTTCCAAAGGACCATGTTTTTTACATAGTTGCAAAAACGTGGGGTGAGACAGCCAACTGTTTTATTAGTGAATTTAAATAACTTAAAATTGAAATTAGTGAAACATAAAAAAGTAATTGTCCTTAATTTACTTTTTTTTGTTCAAAAAAATTTGCATTTAAATAATATTATAATAATAACATTAATTAAATTTAATTTCACATTTTAAGGAAATATAAATTTTTTTTCTTAAAAAGAAAATGGTTCATAAAATTCAATGTTTTGAAGTTTAATATTGATTGGAGTCGGAAAATAAGAAAAAAACATTTAGAAGAACCAATAGAATCAACACAAAAAGACAAAAAAATTAGCGTTGGCTGCCTAAACCCACGAGCACTTTTTCATAAAAACCTTCACAAAACTTGTAATATTAAAAATTTCGCAATTTCATTTACACCATCGTCTTCAGCACTAAATTCTGCATTAAAAAACACTTACATGAATTTTATTCGTGTAACTAAAATTAACTAAAATCACAAAAATAACTCTTGAAAAAGTTACATCCAAAAGTCTGTTTTTCATAAATTATACTGTCACTGCTAAACTGCTGCAGCAATAACGCTCATCTTTTAGCATCTAAAGTAAACGACCATAAGCACTATAAATTATCAATGGCTCACTATTTGAAAAAGTTATGCAGAAATAAGAAGCAATTGGCTGTCTCACCCCGTTGGCTTCCTCGCCCCATTCTACTCTACCGGTTGTCGAGAGCGACCTAAAGCTAGGCTTTCTTCAGATCCCACAGTGATCCGCCGACGAGAAAGACCTAGGAAATGTCCAATTGAACGACATCAAGGGAAGTCTTCCTTACCACTCTTGTTTGAGTAAAAGCGACCAAGGTGAATGGTCACAGTTGTTTGTCGAGGAACTCCTCCTCACCGGTCCCAGCTCATTGACATGTGATAAATTCTAAATAGCGTTGTTAGTTGTTAAGTCTTCGGTTTTGTATTGCTTCAACTTCTGTAATCCTAATGGATTTATATAAACTGAAATATACTTCACTGAGAAAAATAGAGTTTGAAAAACTGGGAGTCAATATTGAAAAAACAGGACTCAGTCCAGTAAAAGTACATTAATTCATTTCCATCAAGCATCTTAGGGTATTGCGTATAGTGTATAGAGGGCCTTAGTTCCAAATGTCACTGTAAACAGCATTGAAACACAGGCGAAGATTACTTACTTCGAAACTTTCACAATAAAGGAACACAGGCGCGTAACCTGACAAAATAAATGGCCGACGCGACGCGAAAAGAGTGTTTCCTTTTATTCACTTCGTCAATTTTATATTAAAAAAACCGGACAAGTGCGAGTAGAACTCGTACTAAAACCGAGGGTTCCGTACCCACGTTTAAAACTTCTACTTTTTTGCTGAAAAAAATATAAATATCAACTCCAATATTTTTCGCTGTATTTTTTTCTGTAATCTACAGGTGAAAATAAATAAATAATTAATTTTCATCTCTTCAGGTAAAAAACTGTGGGCGCTATAGTAAAAAATACGCATTTTTGACGAAATTTTTAAAAACTTTGAGTTTTTCGCTAAAAAAAATATGAAGATAAAATCCAATCATGTTCGCTATATTTTTCCTGAAATCTACACATGAAAATTCATAAAATAAGCAAAACTATAGCCAAGAATTGTGAAAACCAAGGGGGGGTACACACTTTTTTTTTAAAACGAAAATTTTTTTTAGTTTTTTGCAAAAAAAATATGAAGATGAATTCCAATAATTTTTTCTGTATGTTTGTTGAAATCTGCACGAAAAAACAAATAAAAATGTATAACGCCAGTCCACTAGATTAAGAATTGAGAGAACTAGCAAGGGTTAAAGTATTTTCGAGCTTGCAAAAAGAGATTTTAGTTTTTCGATGAAAACACCATGAAAATAAATTCTAATCACTTCCGCTATATTTTTCCTGTAATCTATGCGTAAAAATACATACGTGTACCAATTTTTAGCTCTCTAGGTGTAAAACTGTGAGTGCATGGTACATGGTACATGCTGTGGGTACATGGTCATTTTTGTCACCGTTCCAATAGGGTTCCTACCGGGTACGGAACCCTAAAAAACAATAACCAATCATTAAAAAAAGAAAAATATGTTAAATGCACTCTTTATATATTCATATTCATTAATTCACAAGTTTTATTCTTCCCACATCTTCATACTTACAATTAACAACTAAATGCATCGGAAATCTTACAATCATACGCAATCGATGGGGGAAATTTCCTATTTAAGAAACATCCCTTACCAATGAAATAAATTAGATCATGCGTGGATTTTACTTTGTAATTAATGTAAGTATGGATGTCAACAATATTCATAATATTGAATAAATAATATTGTCAACTAGTTTAAATTTGATACGGTTATTAGAATTTAATAATAAGTAAATTAAAAACATTAATTTTTTCTTAACCTTTTTCAAGTTTGACACTCCTCATGGTAAATTTGATTATTCTTTTTTTTCCGTGTACAAAATATTGAATTGACCTTGAATGAAATGTATAATTAATTATTCTCACAGCAATATTTAATAATTTAATTAACTTAACTGCACTGCATAATAGTTGAGAGTAGTAAGAGTAAGTGAAACGGTAAGATAAGTGAACGACCATTAGTGTGAGAGAGAGAGAATAACTTGTGGTTTTCGAGTAGGTATCTACTTTATGTGCACGGCGTTCATTTTTCGAAAGAACTGGACTGAGTACTAGTTGTTCAATATCTCATTCCAATTTTTTATACTCTTATTCCCTCTTAGACTATATAAACAGTCTTGTTTAAGCTGATAAATGGGATAACTTGTGTTGAGTCCCAAAGTGTTCAGCTATGAAACTTCTAATACTATAGTGTGTACCTGTCACATATTATTCTATAAAGGAGTACTATACTGACTGCATAAATCATTTTTCCATTTTTCTCCGTGTTGA